TCATTAAATTGAAGAGTTTTGGCTAACCAAATCGTTTAGGCAATCTTTGTACTAAGTTAAGGTGGCCATTACTTTATCTTAGCAACGTAATTACTCATCTTGATTTGTTGGTCAGGAGTTTTGACTTTCAAACAAGAGGTATTGAATTCGAAGCTTGCATATCTGATGTATGTAAAAATTTGCCTTAATTGACCTCATTGTCTCCTCCTCCGGAAAAAAAAAAAGAAGAAGATTCTTTTAGTAGTAGTTGAGATTAATGACTCTTTTAGGCAAAAATTGAGACAAGTGGTGTGAGGGGTTATTTATTACTCCCAACCAATGGCCATTGCTATTAATCCTCTATCATGTGAGGGCATGCTGGTTGCTCAACTGTCCTTTTCATTCTTTTCTTTTACTTTTTATTCATCAACTTTTTTTTAGTATAAGATTTTTTTTTTTTGGTGACGAGGAACACTGTTCTTAGGCCAGTGAAAATCCCGGTCGACCTAGCATGCAATCCACACCAATTTATACGGGCCAACACTTAAGGCTTTCACTACTTGCCAAAGGATTCGAACTAGGGACCTGTGCTTTGCCCAGCCGGCTCTTCACCACTCGGACAAGCAGCAGTGGGTATTTTTAGTATAAGATTGATTATAAGGTTATTTAAAGTGAGATAATAGATCCATGTAAAATTTTTTACCAATTTCAAAAACTTTTTGAGTTGTAGCTTTCAAAAAACTGCTTTCTTCACAATACTTTTACAATCACATTTATAAAAAAAATTACAGTCGTCTCAAATAATTCGTAATCAAATTCTTATTCCAATGTATGTATTCCGAAAAGAGACGGGATAAAAATTGATTGTTAATATTTACTCAAATTTGTGATCACAAGTAGGAATTATATAAGGACTTATTTATACATTCATCCTTGTGTCTGTTCTAACTTCATTGGCTGTGATTTAATCCATCTGGTCATCAAAATCTGTGCAAGATATAACAGCATGTTAATCGAAAGAAATGGTAAATGATTAAATGACATTCTGTCTTTAGTCAATTGCCCCCAACAAATAGTAAATATATTCATCATTTTATTTATTAATTCGAATTTCAAAAACATCTTTACAATCAAAATTTGTTCTGAGGCGCTGACCCCTTGCACCCCCGATAGTTACTTATAAGTTTGCCCTCCCTAAAAATTAAGTTTGCTTCCACCCCTGCTTCCGTTGAGAGACACCAGCGAGATGTGTTGTGCAAGGCAGCTCATCTTGATCTGTAGGTTGGGTGCTATGGCTATCAACAAAGAGATCTCATGTTCAAAGCTTAAGTATTTGATGTGTAAGTATTTGTCTTAATTATTGATTTAAAATGTCTAAAAAAAAAGATATATTTTGTAGTAAGGTAATATGATTGCGGGATAGATAATACATATTGAAATCCAAAATTTTTTTACCCACCGCGGGGTGGCCTGGTGGTGGAGACTTGTCTGGCCTCCCAAGTTCGAATCCCCTCGGCGCTTCGTGACAGCCTTAAGTGTCGGCCTTGTAAATTGGTGTGAGTTGCATGCTAGGTCGACCAGGAAGATTAGTGGCCGAAGGCTGACACTCCCTGCCCCCAAAAAAAAAAAATTTTCCAAAATTTTGTTTGTCTGTGCCATAATATAAATGGGCTAAGCCAGTGGAGGCTAGCACGACCTCTCTAATGTCATTATGGATCTACCCATACATGATGCATAAAATAAAAATTATTATTATTTTATTATTTATTTTGATTTTTTTTTTAAAGAGAAGGGCGTCATCACAAGTTGATGATTTTTTAGTTATTGAAGATAATTTTGAAGAAGAATAAAAGTATGTAGCATAATATTAAATGCTAATTTCTTATTAAAATTGTAAGATATGAATTTCTTTAAAGGTAATATTTCATTAATGATTAATCAGTTATTGTGAATACTCCAAGCCTTATCCTTTTATTAAAATGAAATAGGAACAAGAGGAAGCGACATTGCAGGCCAATAAATAGGGGAGGCTCAGCGTTGACTTTTCTAACTGCAAAAATAGTTTTTTTTTTTTTGGGATCGAGATATTCAGGGGCGGAACCAGCCCTAATTTTTAGGGTAGGGCAAACTTATAAGACATATATATCGGGGGTCGAAGGGGGCAGTGTCCCCTATCGGGGTTCGACCTGTAGGGGGCAATTATCTAAAGACCATTGTATTTTAAAATTTTTAGGGGGGGCAATTGCCTAAAAATTCTTGTAATTAATACAAAAAAATGAATAAAAATGGGTAAATTACCTAAAAAAACCATATAAAAAAATTTTTTAAAAAAAATTGAGGGGGGGCAATTGCCCCCCTGACACCCATTGGGTTCCGCCCCTAAGGATATCTATCTGTTGCCAGCTCCGAAAAGACGTTTGACAACGTGATTAATTATCGACTCACCTAGAAAAGACATCCACCACAGAAACCTCCTGACCCGCATTTAATTATGCCCCACTTAAGGGGCACTGCCGCTCGATGGGAATCAAACACGGATTGAGAGGTTCCCAACCGTACTCGCCTACTTTGATTTACATATTTTTTATTGTAAGGATGATTTTATCTTTTTGGTTAATTTCACATGAAAATATTGTTTTATAATTATTATTATATTAATTCATCAAAGTTACTTGTTTATTTGTTTTTATTTTAATAATATGTATTAATTATGTGTCAGAGCACGTCTCAAAACTTACATGTTTTAATATTATAAAATATCCTTAAATCAAAATAAAGATAATAAATAAATATATTAATTCATAAATTAATTTTATATTTAAAAAAGAGCCAATATTACTAATTTAATATCATTAAAATCACCTCCCCTCCCTTATTTTGTCGGTGCATCCAATGTCCTGTGACCAATATGCTTTAAATTCGCAGCCAATAGCAGGAGAGGCTTTTAACCTCTTAGCCAATGGACGATCAATGAAAGGGACGGCTGAGATTAGCTCATCTCGTCAACGTGTGACGCAGTCCAAATCTCGAAGCCTAATCTCGATAATTACAATAGTAACCTCATCATTAGGCCTTCAGCCAATCAAATGATGCCATTTAAATTAAAAAGAATAACGTTAATTTCAATCAACTTCGAAGACGTTATTATCCGACATCTCGCCGCATGAAAGGGGCAAAACGCGTGATTAGGAAAATTGTAAGTTAATTAACTATAATTAACGGATTAAAAGAGACCTTAATCATTTTTTAAAGTCTTGTTATCTTTGAAGAGAGGGGATTTTAAGGAATGGGCCTCAAATGATGAAATTATTACGTGCGGTCATCTGATGTGTCTAGAGGTCAATCAAGACCTGTCACATCACTTATTTATGATGTAACATTACTGTTTATTGTTGTGTATCGGGTGACGTGGAGCATCCTGATTGACCTTCGGATGATCCGATTACCGCAACTATTAATTTATTCCTCAAATGAGAAGAAAATGTTAACACTTAGAAAAACATATAAAAATTTCATATATTTGTAACATTTTTATATTAATATTTGATAATATTTTTTTTAATGATATAATGAGATCATTAGTAAAAGAAAGCACGAACTTCTACTCTTAATAAGTTTAGCTCGAAATTATAATTGTTATTGTGTGCTGAAAATTTTATAACTTTTGATAAAAAAACGAGGGATTTACGTAAATACTATTTTATTTCATACTATTTACATATCTAACATCCAAAATTTTAATATTATATTCCTATCACTTATATAAAATTGTAATATCAAATATATATACATATCACTTTATTTCATGCTATTTACAGATCTAACACCTAAAATTATAATATTATATTCCTATCACTTATATAAAATTTTAATATCAAATATATCAGTCATATATTTTTACCACTCATACCATCTTATAACTTTAATATTTCATTACATGCACTCATATTTGTTTTATAAATAATGAGCATGTAAATTAAAGTTTTTGAAGTTAGATTTGTAAATCGCATGAAATAAAGGGGTATGTATGTAAATCCTCCTAAAAAGAATCATACACCTAATTCAAAATTATGTTTTAAGACAAAATACAAAAAAAAATTGCATTTTCTCATTTTTCTACAGAAAATGCAGCTTTTTATTGCATTTTTCATTCAAAGTCGATTTTTTATTACGTTTTATCTGCAAACGATTTTTTTTATTTAGTACTATTTTAAGGGGGAGAGAGGAACGGGAGAGAAAGATTAAATATTAAATTAAATATATCAATTTTTAATAATATTTTAAAGTATATTCAATATAAATTATGTTAATTTTTTTTAATATTTGAAATTAACTTTATTAAAATATAATTCAAAGGTTACTTAGAATTTTTAAAATTAAATAAAATTTGATTAAATATTTAAAATATAATTTTAAAGTATTTAAATTAAATGCTTAATTTCCCTCTCTCCGTCTCCTCCATGAAACATTGAAACCCTAAATAGTCCAAAATAGATTTATATTGGAAAGAGGAAAAACAGTTTGACTCAATATGAAACGATTCTATGAATGTGAATTAGAAATGACAAAAGGCATTATTTATCTCCAAAAGCATATCAAATTTGTATGCCATATCAATCATGGATTCTTGCTCTAACAATCAAATAAGCAATAAATAAAACTTGATAAATCTCAACTACGGGTTTTGTTTGGGATGACTTTCATACTGCTTCTTAAAGCAGCTTGATATAGGGATTCTATCGTTGAATCGTTGGAAGAAGAGGATGCAAGAAAGAATTTCTCAATCCAAGGAACAAATACATACAACAAGCTTCTAAAGCTTCAAATCATATAATATTTCATCAATAATGCCTTTCCTACTACAATGCATACATATATAAACTATCTATAAATCTTCTAGAAAAGCCTCTGCTGCTATGATGTTCCGCATCACAATTTTATAGTATAAAAATTAAAACATTTGTACTAAAAAGATGCTTTAAAAGACAATAAGAAAGTCATCCCAAACAAAAACCTTCATCTTCTACTATGATCAAACAGTCATGATACGAATTTGTATAAGAAATAAGAATTAAAAATCAAGAGTCCATGAAATAAAATAAATCTAGTATAGAAGATCAAGATAACAATTAAGAACACAGTTGATGATCTACTGGCAAATCTCATCATGCTCTATACATTGATTTTCTTTCTGCATCTAAGAAGCTCTGAATCGATTCCAAGTCTCTCTGTCTCTCTCTCCCGCCAATTTATTCACAGTGCAAATATCTATAATTTGCAATCAATTTTCAGACATTTAATTTCCACCCTCTACATTCATCTCCTTCATCTTCTCCATTTCCCAATCCAATCTCTGCTTCAATGGTCTCACCATCACAAAAAGTTCTGGGTTAAATGATCTAGTTGGCTCTACTATTTAACGAGCACCAATTTTTCAAAGGGAGAAGGGGAAAAAGATGAGGGTGATTCTCAAAGAATCAGTAATATGGGATACTAGGAGGCGGAGGGGATGCGTAAGATATGCCGGTTATTGGCGGCAATGGTCCCTCATACACTGGTGGCGGCGGGGGAGGAGTTTCGCAAGGAAGTGGAGGTGGAGGAGATGGTGATGGCGGTGGTGGTGAATTATAGTGAATTGGGGGTGGCGGTGGTGGAGATTGGTAATGATAAGGGGGTGGCGGTGATGGAGAAGGTGGTGGTGGCGAATGATAGTGGATTGGAGGTGGCGGTGATAGAGAAGGCGGTGGTGGAGAATGATAATGATAAGGCGGAGGCGGTGATGGAGAAGGTGGCGGTGGCGAGTTGTAGTGGATTGGGGGTGGCGGTGGTGAGGATTCATATCGATATGGCGGGGGTGGTGATATATAGCGATAAGGTGGCGATGGAGATGGGGAAGGTGATGGTGGTGGAGGTGGTGGTGATTGATAATGATAAGGCGGTAGTGGTGATGGAGAAGGTGGCGGTGGCGGTGATAACGATGGTGGAGGTGGAGAGGGTGATGATGGTGTAGGAGGAGGAGGTGGCTCTATACAAGGAAGCGGAGGAGGTGGTGGTGGTGGTTCGATGCAAGGAGGTGGTGGAGGAGGTGAGTTAGGTGGGGGAGGTGGTGAAGGATAATAATGAATTGGTGGAGGAGGAGAATTGGGTGGAGGCGGAGAATTGGGCGGTGGAGGAGGAGAATTGGGTGGAGGCGGAGAATTGGGTGGGGGTGGAGGAGATGGGTATGCTGGTGGAGGAGAATAATGTGGAATGGGTGGTGGCGGAGGTGAATAGATTAGCGGTGGTGGAGGGAAATTGGGTGGTGGAGGTGGTGAATGGATGCAGTAGGGTGGAGTGGGTTGTGGAGGCGCTGGTGATGGGGAAGCCGGAGGAGGTGATGGTGGCAAAGGTGAAGGAGAAGGGGGAGGGGGAGATGGTGGTGGAGGAGATAGTGGAGAGGGTGAAGGAGGAGGTGGTGAAGGGGGAGGTGGAGGTGGTAGCGAGGGTGGAGGAGATGGCGGTGGTGGTGGTAGAGACGGTGGTGAAGGGGGAGGAGGATATGACGGAGGAGGGGAAGGTGGTGGTGGCGAAGGTGGAGGAGGAGATGGTGGCGGCGGTGAAGGAGATGGGGGTGGTGGAGAAGGTGGAGGAGGAGATGGAGGCGGCGGTGAAGGAGATGGGGAAGGGGGAGGAGGAGATACCTGTGGCGGTGTAGGAGATGTTGTTGGAGGCAATGGCGGAGATTGGGAAGGCGGCGGTGGTGACAAAATTAGAGGTGGAGATGGGGGCGGAGGCCCAGATACTGGCGGCGGAGGAGATTGTGTCAGCGGCGGCGGTGGCAATGACGGCGGCGGTGGAACAAACGGAGCGCAGTGGAAGGAGTTGCAGTTCACCGGAAGACGCTGGAATGCGGCACATTGCTTCGGCGTTCGCTGCAACGGACGGCCAGGCAGGCAGTTTCGCCGGTCATCAAACGACGATACCCTAAGACAGACCGGCGGCTCACCAGTGAAGAAGTTGTAGGAGAAGGTAAAGTTCTCGAGCCGCGGAAGCTGGCAGATCGACGCCGGGATCTGACCAGAGAGGAGATTATGAGCCACATCAAGCTGCTCTAATCTACGCATTTTCCCGATCTCATTCGGCAACGGGCCGACGAGCTCGTTGTAGCTCACATCCAAAACTGTCAGCTTCTTTAGAAGCCCGATCTCCTTAGGAAAGCAAGATCTGAGTCCATTGTTCATCAGGATAATCTCATTAAGGGTTTTCGACATGTTGCCGATGCTCGCCGGCAAGCATCCGCCGAATCGGTTATTAGCGAGGACGATAACCGACACCGGCGAATTCCCGATGTTGTTAGGAATATCGAAGCGGAATCGGTTACTATTAATGAAGATAGCATCAAGATCCTTGTCAAAAAGCTCAGACGGAACCGTTCCCTCGAATTCATTGAAACGGAGGTCGAGATACTTGAGAGATGGAAGGCGAAGAACAACAGTAGGAAACTTTCCGGCGAAGCGATTGTTGCTGAGATCGAGCTCGTAGAGGAGGCGAAGACGGTCGAATCGGTGAGGAATGGTGCCGCAGAAACGGTTGGAGTTGATATGGAAAAGGGCGAGGTCCGTGAGTAGGCCTAGCTCTTCCGGGAGGAATCCGGCGATGTCGGCGTGGTTGATGTCGATGCCGGCAACGACAGTAAGGCTGTGGTTAGATGGAAGCGGGGCGCAGAAGACGCCCTTGTAGGCACAGACATTTGATCCGACCCAGGTTCCGGTCAGATTCAGCGGATCCGAGACGATCGCCTGCTTCCATGCCTGGAGAGCAATGTAGGCATTACGGAGGTGGGAGTTTGGGAAGGTTAGTGATGGATCGACCGTTATCTTCTCTCCGCGGTCGCCGTACTCATCGCGGTAGTAGAGGAGCTGCCGCTGCCGAATGGACACCGCCTCCGGCGATGTCAGTTCTCGGCCTGAGAATCCACGGGCGGCGACGAAGAGAAGGAAGAGGAGGCTAAGATGAGAAAGAAATTGTATTTTGCCAGTCTTCATCTCATCCTTGAGGTGAGGGAGAGAAGCGCCGAGCGAAGGGTTTTTTTTAGGGAGAGAAACGGAGAAAGTTATAGAGATAGAAAGAGAACCAGAATGAGAGCGAGAGAGCGCAAATACAGCTAAACCACAGCTATGGAGAAGCGTGAGCGAGAATTTAGTGATGGAAAGAGAAAGACACGCCTTTCTCCCTACCGAGCTGCTTCGGTTCCGCTTCTGGTGAGATATATGTAATGAAGGGTTATATTTGTCTTATCGTTATACTTATCGAGTTTGGAAGGCAGCGCGTTCGGCCAATATCCGATCCGATATCCAATTATTTGGTCCTACCAAATATTATGATTTGCTACTAATTTATATAAGCTTAATTATTTATTTTTTTCTTAATTATTAATATGATTTAGGGTTATAGGTATTAGTTTTTTTAAGAAGTGCATGTTTATAATATTCATATAAACTTTTTTTAAAAAAATTATTATAGGAAGTAATTTTGTTGTTAACTTGTTTTAAGTTTCGTGTTTGAGACGACCTTTTTGTTGCTTTATAAATCTGCTTTATTGTATAAAAATATCTTGAAAATAGAGAAAAAAATGTTGACAACCAGGGATTACGGTGTTTTGGCCTACCTTTGAATGATCTTTCCTACCTAAGTCCTTATTGGCATGGCTGGTCGTTTCTCGCATTACGCTCTCCCGCAATGCTTACTGCAGGCTTTTGGTATTTTTGGGGGTTGTTGTTATTGGAGCAACCCATGAGAAATTATTATGTGCGGAAACCGAACCATCCAGAGGCGAATAAGAGCGCGCGATGCCGCCTGGTACCGAACGATACATAGCAGTGATGTAGAGAAAAAAATAACGTGATGCACCCTCTCATTAGTCTCCGAACGTCATCTGATAACCCAATATTTTATTTATCTTTTTTTGAATTTTTTTTTTTATAGTGTTGAGCTGTCTTTATTTTTTTCCCTTCAGCTCTACTTCTTTTACACTAATCAATCTTTTAAATAACCTTTTCCTTTAGTTCAATACAGAGGGCTTTGCTCATAAATTTTTAATTATGAAAATCAGAAACAAAATAAAAAATGTTTTAGAAATATATGATTAATATCACGGATCACCAAAATTAAAACGATCCAACGATGAGCGTATGGGTGAAGGAAGACACGTGGAAGAGGTAGGGCCCACACATTAGCAGAGAGTTGGTATTGGAGAAGCCATGTGAGTGGGACCCGCCCGTCACGTCCCGTGCGGCTGAACCGTCGGCGCCTAGCCACACCGCGTCCGTGAAAATGAAAAAGGAAATGACACGTCATCACTTTTTGACATGTAGCCCTTCGTGTTGCTCCACCCTAATCTCGTACATCCTAACTGTTACAGCGCGGCGCATCGGACGGCTGTAAACATGACGATAACGATCCAATGGTTCTCATTCGATCGGCCTTCCCTTTTTATTGTTTTTTTTTTTGGATCCTATTTATTGACTGGCCGGCGTTCTTCATCGTCAATTCGCCATCAGGGAATAAAAAAATGAGACAATACTTATCGGCTATTATCATAAAACATTTTTTTAATATCTGATTTGTGATTTTTTATAATTTTTATAATATATTTATGAAGCCTAAATTTTATTTTCTGTTTTAATTAAGATTCTATTTGAGATAATTTTCTATCTGCTTTTTTTCTTAGATAATAATGATAATTTTATTTTTATTATTTAAAAAAAAAAGTCTGTTGTAAAAAATTTCAGAGTAACTAAATAAATTTCTCTATAAAAACTTTACAACCAACTTTATAAAACATGTATCTGCCCTAAATATAATATGCCACAACAACAATAACAACAACAACAAGCCTTTGTCCCACAAGGTGGTATCAGCTGCATGAATCTTTTTTCTCCATTGTGTCATATTATAAGTCAAATTTTAGCTTAAATTTAATAAGGAAAGATCATTTCTAATAATCTTTAACCAAGCCTTTTTAGATCTGTCTACCTCTATCTTTTTTAAAATAAGTCAAATCTAATGCCTCTACTTTCCTAATCGGGTCATCGGAAAGCCGCCGTTTTATGCGACCAAACCATCTAAGACGGCTCTATCTAATCTTATCTTCCACTAGAGCTACTCCAATATTTTCATGAATATGCTCATTTCGTATCATATCTCTAAGAGTAACCTGAGCATCCTCATCTCTGCAACACTTAATTAGTATTATGCTTCACCATAAAGCATTATCGGTCTCACCACAATCTTATAGAATTTTCCCTTAATTTTGAGGGGTACTTTTAAATTGTGAAAATAAAGTACTAATTTTCAAATCCATTTTGTTTTTTCTAGCTATTTCTCATATAACAATTAAAAATTGAATTAGTTAATTCATTCAATATAATTTATTTGTACCAAAAAAATTTGTAGAATTATTATAAAGAAACAATATGAATGTTTTATAGTATAATAATATTTATTTAAATATTTATTAATAATTTTTAAGAGTAATTCTATTGACAAAAAATTTCTTCTCATAAAAAAAAAAACTCTTGAATCAAAGTATACCATTTATTTGACTTTTTTTTTTCATTCAATAAATTTTATGATGAGAAAATATTATGTTAGGCCAATAATTCAATACCTTCCATTGAGAGGTATGGTCCATATGTGCATAGGGGACCAAAATATCTACCATTATAATCACAACGCACAGTGTATAATAAAATAATTATTAATTATTATAAATTATAAATGATTATTAAATTCAAAGCAAATTGCAATAAATAAAACATTAGGGAAGACATAGAAGACCATATTAGTATTTTAAATAATATTTATTTAATTGCAAGGATTTTGGTGTTTGGTGTGAGCCATAACTGTTGCTTGTGACATATTAAATGAATGAGATGAAATGTTGATGCTCAACATATATAGATATTTATATATTTATATAATTAATGAAGAAAATAGGACAACTCTATCTGTAGCTTCATTGGTGGAGATTATGATTTTTTTTTTCTACTAAAGATTTTGTGATGGATAGAAATTTTATTTTAGAAGCTTCTTTCATCGGTTTGTGGCTAATTTTAAAGCAAAAAATCAGATAAGATTTAATTTGAGAAAAATATATTTTTTTTTGTAAAATTAATTGGGAATAGATATTATGTAAAAAATAGATTTTTTGAGAGTTATTATGAGATTTTTTTTAGTATTGGACAAAAACTTTCTTATGTATACCACCCTTATAAATGTGATTATAAGATATTGTTTTTCTCCTTAGAATTTGAAAAAAAAAATCAGAAAATATAAAATATGACCACCACCTTTAAAAAAAAGAGATAAATTTTAAGATTTATTTATTTTACGTACATACCACATTATTTCATACTATTTATATATCTAACACCTAAAATTTTAATATTATATTCTTACAACGCATATAAAATTTTAATATCACATATATCACTCTTATATTTCATTCTTATCACCCATACCACCCAATAAACTTTAATACTTCATTTCATGCACATATATTTGTTATATGGGTGATAAATATATAATATTAAAATTTTAGGTATTAGATATGTAAATAGCATAAAATAAAGTGGTATGTATGTAAATCCCCCATTATTTATTCAATGACTAGGTGGTTTTTATGATTAGTTGAAGCTCCTAATGAAAGAGTTTAAAAATAAGACAAAACTATAGACTATAAATAGATTAATTAGTGCTTAAGATACTAAGATTAACTATTATAAGGACCACTTGTTTTTCATTAGTTATTAACTATACATCCTAATAACCTCTCCAACCCAAGCCAAGAGTAATAACTTCTCTTAATGTGTGTGGGCTCCACACAACATGACAAAATATTGGTGGATTAATCTCTAGCTATTACGCATGTCATCCTTCCGCTAAAAAATGCTAATCTTTTATGTATCATTTCAATCTTATCGGATGTCCCCAATCCCCTCTACTACGGCATCGCCTCTTTAGTGGGGCAAAATAAGTGTTAGCCCGATCCCGTGGGTGACCTCGCTAGGTTCGGCCGAGGGATTAGTTATGCCGCCAAGCGCTCCCTTTAGAGTGGCAGCGGATAAATACTCATGTTTCTAAAAGAAAAAAATCTAGCTATTATAAGCCTAAGTAATCCAAATTAGGACTAGAAATGATTTTTACTAAATTAAATTATGCTTAAAGCTTGTTTTTAGCCATAGCTATTCCTTCTTGTTTTCAAGAGGATGAACTAAGATATTTTTGCTAGAGCTATTGTTATTTTAATACAATTGGTCAATGAAATGTTAAAATTGTTTGAGAGATAGAAAAATTTTAGGAGAATCTACAGTGTTCAAAGTCACACCAAAACCCTAATAAATTCAATAATTGTAAGGGGACAGGATGCTATGAAGATGATAAGATGCATGCAATAAATAACAGTTGATTGATTGTATGTTTGTACGCTTAAGTTGAACCAATCAACACACATTGAATAATAGCGGAGAGGATCAAATCAAGTGTAGCATATAATGAATTAAACACTTACAACTAAACTTTTATTTTGTTTTCGCTCATATATACGTTTTAGGGGTGCAAATGAGTCGAGTGGAGCTTGACTCGTGAGCCAAATCTCGAGCTTAAACTCGAGTTGAGCCCAAAAGTCAAGCTGAAGCTCAACTTGCCGATGATAATGAACTCGACGAGCGGCTCGTCGAGCGTTCCATTTCACAATTCACAAGCAGGTGTCGCTCATTCCGTCGTTCGCACACGGAACGCGCTTACGCTTCGGTTTACCCCTTGACCGGCCCGTCGTTCCGACTTCAACCTACCGCATGTAAGGATTCGAGTCCGACCCCTACCGTTCCGCATCTCAGCCTGCCCCTTGTTTCCGAGCCGCTCGACGAATAATCGAGTCGACATTCCGCGGTTTGAACTCGAGCTCGATAATCGAACAAGCTCGAAATTCTGCTCGAATTGAAAAATTGATAAACTCGACTCGCGAGCTCGTTAACAAGTAGAGATCGAGCCAGCTTATCTCACTCGCATCTCTAATATATTTCAATATCAAACATAGCTGTGATGGTGCCTTTGCGGCAAGTTTTAGCAGTCCCAATCTTCTTGACTCAGCAAAATATTTCTTAAATATATCATGCCCAAATATAAAGTCAAAAATATTTCGTTTAAATTATATAAAAAAAAGGTATGCGGCTATTCATTTCAATTAAAAATACCCCTTTCATCGCAAATAGAAAAACAAAATGAAAACCAAAAAGAAAGTGCATCATTTGACTATGATCTTTGATCTTATATTTACAAAACCAAAACAAAATATATATTAAAAAAAAAAGGAATAAACAATACTGTTCAAAGGACCACGCTAATGATGGGAATAATACAAAAATGGGAGTGGGTACCCACATAATGGCAATCATTAGGACAAAAACTACTCCATTAATCTCCATTTGTCCTAATAAATACTTCTAATGATAAAATAATCATCACAATAATAATAATAATTATAAAAAAGTTACCAGTTCTCTTTGCATTCATAAACTAATTTTTCACTTAATCTCAAACCCTTAACATATAATTTATATATCAGATTTTTTTTTTAATATAGATATGTAAAACAATCTATGGGATTGGTAGAAGAAAAGAGCAAGATGAGAATGTCAATAATTTGAGAAATTATTTTATGTAGAGGTCAAACGCAGAACGTTGTTCGGAGATAAACTATAATGCGTCACATCAACAGTACCGAGCCGTGGTAGCAGCGGTACCGAGCAAAATCGAGCCACGGTACTGAGCGAAGCGTTGACGTGACGCATTCTGATTGATCTCCAGACGATTTCTCCAATAATTTGTTAGTGCTTACTGTGATTTTGAAATACAATCGTCGGCAGAATGAGCTGAGATGGGATCCACTGGTTCTGGTTCTGGTCTGGTAATAAAAGAGTAGTAGAAGAGTTCTTTGCCAGCTATTACCTGCTGAGTTCGTGGAGGGCGACTACTCCTGTAATGTAAAAAGAAGAGTGGGGAATCTATCAAATTAAATAAATAAACAGAGCATCATTTGAAGCTTTTAATTTCACAGAGAGTTAGTCTGATGCATGTCTGTGTGGGATAGCATAAAATAATAAAAAGACAAATAATATGAGAAAAAAAAGTCGAACTAATAAAAATTAGATCAAGGAGTTGGTTCAGTGAGCTGTTATTGTTTTGTTTAGTGGATCTTAGCTATAATAAATGATTGATCATTGGAAACTTTAATTATTAAAAAACTTTAATAGCTGTCCATGAATGCTACTGTAGAATTTTTTGTATGAAAGTTTTTTTTTTAAATTATTAAGAGCAAGATAATATTTTTTCTTTTTGAAAAATTAGAACTGCTATATTTTTATATATATATATATATATATATATGATTAGAAAAAATTCTCATAAAATTTTAGTTTAAAAAAAATATATCAAAAAAAAATTATTTTAAAAATCAATAAGAAAACCATCCAAAACTTCATTTGATATAAACTTTTTTCGTAATTCCTATTCGGCCACTATTTTTTTTAACTTTTAAAACATTTTTATATTAAGAAGCTGCTTTCTACTACAGTTTTAAAAATTACTTTATATACATTAACTTTATGAGGTAGGAAAAAAACCATTCCAAACGAAGCTTAATTTGGATTAATTAAAAAACAAAGTTCAAAGCAAATTTAACTTGTTTGTCAACCAACTTGTGACTTGGATAATTTCAGAAATATTAAGAGGATTTCCATAAATGCTTTTGAATTCTTATACATTCACAAATCTAACATAAACTTTAATATTTACTTATATAACACTATAATAATTAAATCATATCAAAATATATTATAATTATTCTATTTTGAATAGATTAATATTAGTGATATTTTTTATTTAGCTTTAAAATGAGGATGCTATATACGCAAAAAAAAAAAAAAAGTACATTGCAATTATATATATGCAGAATTATTAAAAATATTTATTTTCTTACTTCCCCTAAACTTTCTTTTTTAATAATTTCCCTACAATAACTATATAAATTAAAATAATCTTTTCTTTTATAATAAATAAGCCAGCTAATGACCATTAATTAGCCCATTTATAGCTCAACTCTACCCATTAGCAATCAATCTAATCAGGAATACAATTAATTGTGGTATGAAATCAACAAATAATAACGATAATAGAGATTAGGTGGGAATTGCATGTAATAACTTTTTTTTTTTTTCAATTTCTTCCCCTTTTTATGTTCTTTAGGGCTCTCCTATTTCAAATTCAAACTAAAGAGACCACCACCACTCCTTTTTGCCCCCCACTTTTTGCCTCTCCTTTCTACTTAAGAGTATGCAAGAAGTATGTCAAACATCTATCACCAAATCTTCTCTTTCATTCAATTTTGCTAAGTTTAGTGTTTGGCAGCAATGTTTTCAAAGTGATTATCAATTTTTTTTTTAGATATTTAGGTCATTTAAGGCAAACTCACACACACAACGCATACACAAAGACTCGAACCCAAAACCTCTTAGTTGAAAGCCTAAGCTCTCAACCAACAGGCCAAGATGAGCTTTGTAAAGTGATTATCTTTAATGGTAAGGACTGGCGAAGAGCCATACCAACTTGTTTGGAGGATAAAGTGCAAGACATAGGAAGAAGTAAAGTTAAAATATCATTATCCTCCAAACAAAAGAATTTTTTTTTTACTAAAAAACTTTTTTTAGAAAGTAATAAGAAAAATGTCCAAAATAAAATTTTAAGGAAATAAGTATATGCATATAGATTTTGAACATGTAGGCAGTAAATCAAAAATTTATACACAGCTGTGTACAAATTCTTTATTTGCTATATGTATCTATCACAAAAATTTCTCTCAAGAAACTTAACTGGATAAATTTCATCAATACACCAGTGATCTTGTTGCAAGTCTATTGTTAAAGATTGAAAAAAAAGGGTGACCGCAAGAGATCTGCGAAATTATGGACTTAGGCTTTATTTGGGACGGTTTTTTTACTATTTATTGAAGCAACTTTCTAATAAAAAATTAAAAATTTTGTACTAAAAAAATGCTTTAAGAAGCAATAAAAAAACCGTCCCAAATAAAACCTACAACTAATCATTTGATAATGATAAATAATTATACAAAGATAACAAAGACAACCATAAGGCCTAAAGGAAGCATGCAATCAGACCTTTTCTATGGGAGAACATCTCATTTCTCAACCACCATAGTCACCAAAAACCGTGTGCCAGCTATAAAGCAACGAGAATAAGGAACTAGAACCCTATATATATTTCTACTAGTTTGAATTAAAGCAACCGGCCTACCAAGGAAAAAATAAATAAAACTCCAGATCAGAAAAAAAAAGTTATGAAAGGTTGTTCAAAGCCCTCGAATATGCTTCGAGATTTGTGTTATGCAGCAGAACATCTTAAAGTTAAGTGAATCGCAAAGCAAATCCAACGGCTACAAACCACCTTTCATAAATTGTCAAGCATCTTTTGGTTTTATAAGAAAAATTTTCCGGTGCTATGAACTCATCAGCATTCCATTAGCACCATTACTTTGAAGGAATAAGTTATGCAAATCATTCCAGCAAAGGAAGTTGGTGACAGCTGGTTCTTGCAATGTAATTAAAATGCTTAGTTATATAAAAAGAATGTTTGGCAAAGGAGGATATTCAAATATTGTGAACCAAATATGCAGCTTAAGTAGATTCTGGGAGCCAACAAGAACAGAGATGGATTGGGTGAGTAGCCAAGCAGGCTTAGGATGATCCAAGCAAAAAAAAAACATATTTTCACGACAATTAAAGCGAATTACACAGGCCAAGAGCTCACTGGAAAAATAATAAGAATAATGCACCACTATAAACTGAAGAAAAATAATAATAATAATAATAACACTGTCACTCCAAAACTAAAAAGGCATTTGGCACTCAAAGATAGGCTATGTAATTACTTAATTAATTAAAAAAAATTGCGTCAGCATATCTGGATCAAATTTTGGTTAAAATGGTTACTAAGCTGACAAATTTACTTTGAGATTAGTCTATCATAAATTTTGATTGATTATTCGTATGGTGCACTAACTCAAAGCAAATATAAAGGTTTTGAGACTAAACATGACCTCATCTATGATGCACAGACACGAACACGGCGACACGGATACGACACGACACGACACGGGACACGTCAGTTATTGAAAATATAGAACACGGACACGGGTTGGACACGGTATTATAGTTTTTATATTTAAAAAATAGTGTATAAAAATTAAATAAGTATAATTTTAAAAATAATTTGAAAATAATAAGTCATTTAACTAGAATTTGTGCTTAAAATGATTATTATTAGTATGTTGATAGTAAGACGTCGATGCCGTTTATCAGTCACCGAGAGAGGAGATGAAAATACCTTCACTGCCAAAAAGAAATGAAAATGAGAATATTCGATGATTGGTATTAAGTGCGGACGTTGATATGGTGTTGTGGATAGGAAATAAGAAATTTAGTTTAAATCCCGCCAATTACAAGAAATTATATTTAAAAAAATTCATAAAATATTTAAGATAAGCGTGTCGGACACGAGTGTCCAATTTGTATTTAAATTTTTTAATCGGACACGTTTTCGACGTGTCCGACACGTGTCGGAGGAGTATCGGGTGAGTGTCGTGTCGGACACGGTGTTGGACACTGCACGCCTCCTTGAGGAGAAATGTCGGTGCATCATAGGACCTCATTAATTCCTAGTAGTGCAACACGCCATCTAGAGATCAAAAGATAATATTACAAAAAAACTTAATTTAAGGCATGCAAGTTGAGAATACAGGCCTCAACAAAAGATAACGGATGAAATAACAGAAGGTATTAGTCACCTTGGATCTATACTGGCAGAATGTTTGAAACTGGACATCCTGGGTGGTCGTTTTACTTAATTGGAGTGAGAGCTGCCATAATTAAAAAGACAATGTCAGTGAGAGCATTTAATGTTAGTTACAGCATCTAATGTTGAAAACCATATATTATTTCAATAATAGTCTAAGGTACCAACTTTTGGAAGCCAAAATATAAGAAAGATTGGCTAAAATCTAATCCTTAATACCTGAAACCATGAATTTGAATTAGATGATATGGATGCAGTTTTAATTTACTCATTTCACAAATGCACTAATTCGACTTTACAAACTGGTTACTAATACAAATATGTATAGCAGTAGCAAACAAGCCAAAAAAATGATAATATTCTAAAATAAAGAATATAGCAACTAATTACTCAGTTAAAAAAACTGTCTCTACATTTGCCCAAAAATTGCATTTACACTGCTGGGATTCCTTTGTTATTTGTACCCCCGTCTTCCTCATCATCATTCAGATGGACTAGGACAGCACCATTGGTAGAATCATCTGCTTCAACTTCCTGTTCCTGTTCTGCACGCTCTTTATTCTCTACCCTTCCCTGCATGTTTCTTCATCAATAAATAATCTCAAAATCGAACTACCAAAATTTCTGAAATGCAGAAACATTAATGGAGAACAAGTTCAAATACAAATGATTCATCTCTACAGGAAATCCACGCACACTTTTAACATAAAGTTTGAACTTCTTTAGTTTCAAATGCGAAATTTTAATTTTACCATATGAATGAAGATGAATGTATTTTTTAATCTTTCCCAGATAAATGACGCAATCAAACAAGTGCTGATAACACATCTACCTCCCTCGAAACTGTATTATATGAATTGATTATTCGAGATGCCAGAAACAGTATCCAGGCCTCCCCATCCCTCAATTGGCTCATCAAAACGATGAGGTATTATGTAAAAATCAATTGCATACCACCTATATTTCCAACAAGAGCGCCATGGAAATTGTATACAGTACAATAAATTTTCTTAACCCAACACTTGAAAATTTTTTCAATACCATGGTAGAACGCGAAAAAAAAAGTTCTGGAGAACACAAAATTGGATCCTGAGTTGACTTTAAGGCGTTGCACATACAAAAAATTGACGAAGGCTGTCAAATATTAGAGTGCTTATGCACCAGAAAGCAATCGACATACACAATAAAGATTTAATAAAAAAGAGAAAGTAATCTTATGTGCAAATATAAAACGAAAAGAACTCTATGATTAAGAATTCAGTTGCTTCCACGAAATTGACTTCAGAAAATGGGTACATCAATATTCCTAAGCTATAGCTGTTTCAATGCAGCGACTGTCCAACCAAATTAAATACCTATAAAAAGGATAGAAGCTCTATCAAATTGAAAAAATGTAGCTTTGTAGAAGTTAAAGAATATCAAATTGTGCATGCTGAAACATAAATCTCAAAAATACAATGAGATATAAATTAATTTAAAAAACATCTATTGAAGTTAAAAAACTGTTATGTTACGAAATGAAAAATGGAATTGAAAGCATGAAAAGTTGGGCATCAGTAGCGTAACAAGAGAAAACGAGGTATGTAAATTCACAATTTTAAAATGGTAAAATAAACCTACATTTAAATTTCATTACACAAGCTATAGCATTAACAACACTCAAATATCTTTCGGTCTTCTACCCTCAAACAGCCAACAGCACAAGAAAAACACCACAAGAAAAGTTAGTATCTCCTGCTCATTGTCACGTCAGCAACCCAGTTGGTTAGTTTTAAAATAAAAAGATCCATAAAAAGCCCAGTACTTCTTTCAATGCTTTCAAAGGACCTTAAATAAAAAGATATACATGGTAGTAAGGACAAATTGCACATAGCAGTAATCAACAATCACTGTTTTAATGCACACATACCGCATAATCCGAGTCTCCGTATTCACCTAGCAACCCTTCTTCATCAACTTGAGTGTTTTTGAAAGCCTCCACTAGATTAATATTTGTCTCCTCAGCATGATTTAAATACTCTTCCGCAGGAGGATATCCACCCCTGTTTTAATCACAATACATTCAAAAAAAATGCGCCAACAATAATATGTGCTGAACTGAATTTCCAAATGAAGCTTAAGTTTTAATGACCAATAATTTGAACTTTTTCCCAAAAGCAAATAGTAAAAACAGAAATAATTGCAAAATAAAATGCCAGACGTATCCATGTATAGGCAAGCGTTGACGCAGAACAAAGTTTACTAACAACGTTATGCCAAGCTGGTACAAGTGGAATAATACTAAGGAAATAGGAATATTAATTCTAAAAATAAGAAGAAATTACCAGAAGTTATTACGATCAACAACAACAACACATTAAGCCTTTATCCCACTACGTGGGGTCGGCTACATGAATCCTTTTTCTCCATTGTGTCCGATTAAACGTCAAATTCTCATTTAGATCTAATAAAGAAATGTCATTTTTAATATTTTCTAACCAAGTCTTTTTAGGTCTACCTCTACCTTTCTTAACATAGGTTAAATCTAAAACATCTACTATCCTAACCGAGTCATCAGAAGGCCGACATTTTATGTGACCAAACTATCTAATGCGACTCTCTCTAATCTTATCTACCACTGGAGCTACTCCAACCTTTTCACGTATATGCTCATTTCGTATCCTGTCTCTAAGAGTAAAGCCACTCATCCACCTGGGCATCCTCATCGCTGCAACACTTAACTTAATATTATGCTTCAACCAGAAGTTATTACAATAAAAGAAAAAAAAATGTGAAAAGTCTTCCATTTTCTCCTAATCTTAAGTAGAATCTGCCATACAATTTTAATGAGAATGAGAAAGTATCCAGCCCTCAAAATTCTTTACATCTATAAACCCACCAATCAAGTAAGATGTAACCACAATCGCCAATAGAATCTTATAAATGGTACCATCTTCCAGCATCATCACAAAAAGTTCAGAGCTTTGAACATGAGAACTTAATTTCGAGAATCAAGGAGAAGGCACCTTTTACTGGCAAGGCTAGACTCAACTGCAAGAGCAATCTGCCAATTCTCAAATAAGTTTGGATACTCCTCAGGATCTGCCAATGACTCTGCAGCTTTGGGGTTGACCTGCATAATATAGGAAGTAACAACAAATTATGAAAGGTTCTGGAACATAAGAAACCTATGAAAAGAATTATTTCAGGTAATCTAGGAAAAGATGAGAAAATTTTTCAACTGGCGTAATTCAAATAGCTAGACGTAGACAAAGTAACTAGAAGTTTTCAAATTTTAATATCTGATAAAACAATAAACATTAGCAAACCTTATTGAGTTCACTTTTCCATATTGCCACAATCTCGGAGACTTTGCTTGGAAGATAGGACCGCGCCATCAGTGCAGCTTCAGGTATACGGTTACTGCCAAGAAATTGCAAAATCACAGAGAGAAAAGTTGAAAAGATTTTTTCTTTTTATAAAGCTATCGAGCATGTACAAGAGTAAACGCAAATGCATATACTATATAGAGAACTACCTCTCTACCAACAATTGAATACAGTCCTCCAATTTACCAAGCATAAATAAACATATGAAGGCAACATTGTTCTTCCCTTGCTCTTTAGCGAGACTTGCAAGTTTTCTAATTCCTTCAGCGTCTCCAAGAGAAGAATAAAGAAGTAATAAGCCGCTGAAATCCATAGCATTTGATAAACAATCCTCAGCCATCTCTAACTGCATTAAAAAAAAGCTTCATCAATATCATTAGTTTTATCCAAACTATTTGGTGCAAGCTTTATAAATCCTCATTTTCCATTCATTCCACGTAATTGTTGTCCGAGTTAAAGCTTATTATTCCCAAATCATTTTGCTCAACTTTTGTCCCAGGTAACCTTAAGTCTACCACTTTTTCTTTCTAATCCTCTAACACTAATTTTATCTACTCTGCTAATAGGCACCATAATGTGCACCAAATTATTTCTTGTGGTATTTGACCATATGCCCTCTCAAGATTAATAAATATTATATAAATATCATTTATTTACTCTCTATAATTTGTTATTAATTACCTCAACACAAAATTTACTACCATGGTCCATAAGAGATATTCCTCGCATGAAATCAAAATTGTTCTATAAAATAGAAGTAATTTTTAACAAGCCTATGTTTCATTATCTCTATCATAGTTTCATCATATGACTCATAACTGATTCCTTTATTGTCTGCACAATCTTCAACACAATCTTCAACACGATCTTTGCCCTTAAATATTTAGACCAAAATGTTTCATCCCATATTATTTCGCATCCATTCAATATTCAAAAGTTTATAAAAAAAAAATTAACCAAATAACTACAAAATCCACGCAACTTTCTAGATCACAATAGGTATCCCAAGTGAAACTAAATCCTTCTTTTTATGAATCTTCTTTAGAGCTAAATCTACTTCACCTTTTTAGAATAATTTATAATATATCTCATTATAATGTTCATTATGATCTTCCAACATAATTCTAAAGGGTTGATTGACATCCTTCGGTCTCCGTTCTTCAGCATCGACTTTGAGAACGACCACTCCGTTGAAGAGTACGTGGAAAGAATCCTCTTCTCCCTTGCAACCGCTATCGATCAACGACAACCTCCTATTCAATCGCAAATTTCTTCCAACTCCTGATCAAGGTGAACTCTCTCTCGAATCACATTCCTTCCAAGTCATTCTCAATTGTGGCATTACAACGATCATGCAAGCTTTCTTCGCTTAACCAGTTATAAATAGTGAGAGTTAGGGATCTTAAGTAGTGATTATTCTAAATGGTAATTAAGGGATTTCTTTCGAAAACCCCACATTAAGCAAAATCTGATTTGATTGGTTATTTTGTGTTCTAAATCTTTGTTCCATAAACTATTGCCGGATCTAAATCATTGCTTTATTGTTTTCAATCACCATTTAAATCAAGAAAGTTGACTAATTGCTCTTGCTCTTTCAAAGACATAATTTCAAAAGCAAAACATCAGCATATGCATTTAGTCCTACATCAACATGCTTGTTCTATCAAAATATATTTCATAGAAGTTGATGTTTATCTACTTAAAGCCAGCAAAAAACAAACAAATATTAAGGCAGATCGGCAAAGGTATCTTGATAAAAGCAATAAAAATGAAAAGATGAAATGTCCAAAAATTTTAAAATATGCAGGATACCTTTCCGGTAGACATGGCTAATTCTCCAAGCTGTTTCCACTTGGACTCACTTTGTGATTCAACTGCAATTGCCTGCATAACCAAGTGCCTTAGAAGGAGAATCTGATGCAGACATGTCCTCTAAAATAAATTCCAAACGAATTATCCTCTATTCAACTTCATTAAAGACATACCTTTGCAACCTCTAACTTTCCCAACTGAATTGATAAATCAAAACGATAATTAGGATTTGTGGCCACTTCTAAAGCATCCTCTAGCATGCCTTGAGACTCTAAGAAGTGAGCCACACTGCCAAATAAATTTAACAAACACAAATTTAAGAAAGGAATTCCAAGACATACTGATAATCACAACATAATAATAATAAAAAAAGACATTAAAATTATTATCATCATTATTAATCTTATCGAACTATTTAGGATAGACTTTCCGAAGCCTCGTCTAGTGTGCATTGCTATTAACCGCTAGATGAGGTTTATTCTGATTTGTGCATGTCTTTCTACCCAACTTCTAGCCATATTTTGCTTAGTATACCTTTGTTTATTTTGATGATCTTTCACATTAATTACATTTATCTACCTTGAGTTGTACATACTCGAGCTCCCCAAGTGTAATTCCATTGCCTTATTTTCAATATGTTATACTTCTAAACCGGCACAAAATCACTAATATAAATAATTCTCGCTCAATAATTTTTAGTTCTGCAACATATATATTTTAAATCTAATTGAGTACATACTAAGCCTGACAGTAAATAACTTATTTGCTGTCCAACACTCATATCTAATATAGCATAAACCTAATTGATTGCAACCATAGAAAACTTACCTTCAGTTCTCAATGATATTCTCATATAATATACTACTTCTAAGGCATTTCTCCATTTCAAACATTTCTTTAGGATTGCTTTTTTATTGTTGCGCAGCAAGGATGTTTGGCTCTTTGGTTTTTAGGTTCTTTCACAATTTTTTTTTTTTTGTCCAAATGAAAATTTGTCAACTTAAGAATTTTCCCCAATTCCCCATTGCCTGCTTTTAGAAATGTAGCATTCGGTTTGGCACGTGATTACATATGAAATTGCCCTAGTTATTTTGATAATCGATAACAAAGAAATGTCATCTTAACTCTCACAACCTCCTCCTATGCCATCTTATAACCTATGCCTCAATATCATCCGACTCCTATTGAGCTACTTGTGATCCAAGTATAAAAATAACCCTCAAATGCTCCATGATTTCACTCTTCTACACTATTTTTACTATTTTTGAATGACAACTATAGGTTTATGCAATTTACATAACCAATATTGGGTTGGAAAAGCTTTATCATCAAATGAATGTCAAAGTTAAATATGTAAAATGTTTTGACTGATTTTTAATGATTACTCCTGTTGTTCATAGTGCCCTTTATTTTCATCATGTATACATTATCATGTTGTGCGTATAGTAGTTGCTATTTCTTTTGTGTACTTACCATTCCCACAATTAAATAGTAGCATAGGAAAGCCCAAGGATTGTGGAGCATCGATTATCTGTGAGACAAATGCAAATATATATATATATATATATTATGACTAGCATTTAGGGAAATCAACCACCCATTGGTATAACCTATATTTAAAAAAGACAGGGATACACAACAACATCAAACCTTTATCCCACTATGTGGGGTCGACTACATGTAGCTTGTTTCTTTATTGTGTTATGTTAAGAGTCAAATTCTTATTTAAATCTAATAAAAAAAAATGTCATTTCTAATATTTTCTAACAAAGCCTTTTTAGGTCTACCTCTATCTCTCTTAATATAGGTAAAATCTAATACAACTACTCTCTTAACTAGGTCATTAGAAGGTCGAAATTTGATGTGACCAAACCATCAAAGGAAATTTGTTTTACATTCTACCTCTAAGAGTAAAGCAACTCATCCACCTGAGCATCCTCATCTTTGCAACACTTAATTGTATGTTTCTCTTTTAATAACCAACATTCTGTGCCATAAAGCATTGCAAGTCTTACCACCATCTTATAGAATTTTCTCTTAAGTTTAAGGGATACTTTTCTATCACCTAACAGGCCTGATGCATTTCTCCACTTCAGCCATCCAACTTGAACTCTACTAATAATATCCCATCCATTTCACAATTACTCTAGACAATAGATCGAATATATTTAAAATATGTACTCTTATTAACAACTTGATCATCCAAAGTCACAATCCCCCTATTAGATCTATTACTACGAAAATTATACTCCATATATTTTGTTTTAGATCTACTCAAACGAAAACCTTTACTCTCAAGTTGACCTCCATAATTCAAATTTATCTTCAACTCACTCTCTAGTCTTTCAACAAGAATATTGCTAGTAAAAAGCATACACTATGGTACATGCTCCTACAAATGTCTAGTAAAAACATCCATAACTAAAGCAAAAAGATATGAGCTTAGAGCTGATTCTTGATGTAATCCAACTGAAATAGGAAAATACTTGGTCCAACCTTCTTGTGTTTGAATACAAGTACCAGCTCTAGCATACATATCCTTATTGATTTGATTATAAGCATTATTAACCCCTTTCTTTTCTAAAACTCTCCATAGCACTTTTCTTGAAACTTTATCATAAGCTTTCTCTAAATCAATAAATATCATATGTAGATCATCCTTATTCTCATTATACTTTTCCATCAAACCTCTCAATAAATATATAGCTTCCATAGTAAACCTACCCGGCATGAATCCAAATTGATTTAGAGAAACATTAGTATCACGACGTAACCTATGCTCAATAACTCTAACCTAAAGTTTTAAAGTATGACACATTAACTTAATTCCTCTATAATTCGCACACACTTATGCATCACCTTTATTTTTAAAAAGAGGAATCAACACACTATTTCTCCACTCATCTGACATTTTTTTAGTTTTTAAAATAATATTAAAAAGTTTTGTAAGTCAAGAAACTCCTTTATCTCCTAAGTATCTTCACATCTCTATTGGAATATCATTAGATCCAATAGCTTTTTCACACTTCATTTACTTTAAAGTATTTTTAACTTTGATTTTATTAATACACCCATAAAAATAAAAAAATCTAATTTCATTTAGGGTGCTAAGGTCACTAAAGTCAATCGTATTCTCACAATCTTTATTAAAAACTTATTAATATCTCATCAACATTTGTTTAATATCCTTTTCTAATAAAAGCACTTTTTGATCTTCATACTTAAATGCACTTCACTTGAACTAAATCCTTCTCTTATCTCTTTGCTTGGCTCACTTATACATACATCTTTCGCCCTTTTAATATATAATCTATTATACATATCATTAAAAACTAAATTCTTTACATCGCATATTGCTTTCTTAGACTCCTTATATGCCTCTTTATATCTTTCTTGATTTTTCACGTCTAAATCTATTTTTATTTTTGATCTTTTCTTGCACATTTTGATTCCAACACCAACTATTTTTATTATGAGGAATTTTTCTTTTGATGCTCCAAGTATATCATTTGCAACAATCTTAATATCATTAGTTATTTTTTTCACATAACATTAACTTCCTCATGTATAGTCATAATCTTATGATTTTGAATTTTACTAATAAAAATATTTTTGTTGGTATTATTTAAATACCCCCATCAAATTCTAGGACAACATTTTACTTTATTTTTCATATTCAGTTTTTTTATCTTAAAGTAAAAAACTAATAAGCGATCATGGATATATAAACTTTCACTCGAAATAATTTTAAATCTTTGCAATGTAAATGATATATTTTTCTTATAAGAAAATAATCAATCTGAGTTTTACTATATCCTTTCTTATAAGTGATGAAATGCTCCTCTCATTTCTTAAATAAGGTGCTCGCAATTATAAAATTATAAGCTAGAAAAAATCTAATATAGTCCTACCACCTTCATTAGTAGCTCCAAATCCATAACTTTTAAAATCATCTACCTCTCTACCAACATGTCAATTTAAATCTCCTCTAATAAAAATACTCCCTTCAAAATATATCTTCTGTATTAATTTTCTACGTTATTCCAAAAATTTAATTTTAAACATATATTCAAACCTACTTGAAGAGCAATAAGTACCTATGATATTAATAATCTTAGCATCAACAACAAACTTTAAAGCTATAATTATATTCTCAATTCTATTAAATTCAACCACATATCCTTCAAACTCTTATTTATAATCACACATACCAAATTTTTAGTATGACTCACGCCTAAATACCATAGTTCAAATCCTAAACTATCAATCTACCAAGTCTTTTGTCTAACCCATTTAAATTCTTGAATGTATAGAATATTTATCTTTCTATGAATCATGATATCTATTAACTTCTTTAATTTGCCTATAGAAGAACCTATATTCCAAATTACTATCCTAAATCTATTTTCATGGACTAGCTTCTTTGCCCACATTCGTCTGTGATGTGTGAACTCTTGCTTATTTAACATTGTACCCAGGCGTCGATGTAGTAGCCATTGCACACTTGTCACTATATTTAGGTCATGCAATGCGCTCTAGCATTAACACAATATAATAAAGAATTCATTTCATGATTATTCAATAAATTTTATGCTGGTTGTCGACTACCTAATGCAACCCTTCATTTTTCTCATCTAAAACTTGGAAGCTAACAACTGGCAACAATAGTGTTTATAAAAAAAATTACTAAAATGTACTGACCTAAAATAACCTAGGTGATGAAGTTTATAAACTATATACAACCTAAGCAAGATGGTATGTTTATCCCAAGCCTAGGGAGGTGAGGGCCACCCCCTACTGCAGCTACTACAGCCCCCATTTCTTCAACAAGGGAGGCAAATTTTAATTAGATATATTGAAGGGGCAAAGTGTGAAAGGTGGCAGTTAAAGAACAAGTGCAACAAGTTGAAGGGGACTAAAATTTATCAAAAGAGCACAAACAATAGTTGACTAGACTTGTTTGGAATCTAAGGAAATAGATCAATATCACATCAAGCTATTAATGGAAAGCAAGATAGGGGTGAACTTTAGAATTTAATCTGTATTGTGTCTTTGACAAGATTTATTTGGAATGTAAGTTGTCCCAAAAGTAAAGAAGTTTAGGTATTCTCACATTAACCCTAAAATAGAAGAAAAACTTGAACAAATGTTAATTTATTGATCAAAGAGCCTTTGCTCAAGCGGTATACTCAATTTCTAGCCTAGAGGTCTCAGCCATCAAGCTTCACAGACACAATAATGACGAACTTCAAATCCTCCTAGATTAAATAAGAGGTATTCAATAAACACCATTCATCACTAGTAGTGTAATTTAAAGGTACTTCACACAAGAAAAAAAAAAGGGTAATTAAAGGGTATTTTACTAGATATGCTGACACCATATACAAAAAATAGTGGAAGAAAGTTATATGAATAAATGCACTCCATAATTACATATCATTTATCTAGTTATGACCCAGAGTTTAATTTGGGTGATGCTAGCAAAGCCTTCATACCCCTAGAAGCACATGAACATCATGAATTTTAACAATGTGCATGGCTTTCTTTAATCTGAATGCAAGTCATTAAATTTTGGTAGGGCCATAGAATTTTCATAGGAGTTGACTCCTACCATTTTCTGGTTTTCATCAAAGGTAGGAACAAATTATTTTGACTTATTAGTTCGTGTCATGTGAAGTTTGTGTGAATGTTACATGATTTTCCTCATCACATATTAAATCTAATGTTATATGTGATTTTTGTGTGAATGGTTCATGGATTTTGCATCGTATATTAAATCTGCATTAAAAATCTGAGCTTTTAAGACGTTCTACATCATCTGAGTTCTAATATGAGAAATGCACCAGGTTCATTAGCATCAATTATTATGAAAAATACTCTGTTAAACAATTTTTTTAAATTAACTTTGGGCAACGAGGCTAGGTCATTATCGTATAAATTAAATGTTTTTGCCATAGAATAAATTACTTGAGCATCAGAGCTTTTTCAATATTAGCAGGGAGAATTTCAATCATTTGAAGAAAAAACAATACAACCACAGCAGCTTAACCAAGGCATAAATAACTTCCTGATTTTTAAAAATTTATCAAGAATTATTTTTGCCAAACAAAAAAAATAAGGTTTCAATAACAATAGATTTATAACTAGGATTTACACCTTCACAGTAAACTTCATCAACGACAATGGCTGGCTCAAATTAACCTCAAATTAAATAAATTCATAAAAAAGTTTATTTGATAAGTTCTAGCACATACAAGAAACTTAATTAACTAGACCTATCAGAAAGATAGAAAATCTAAAAGGGTTTTATCATATTGGTGCAATATTGGCCAACAAATACCCTCTAAATTTAAAAAGGCTCACATCAGTAAACCAGAGAGGATAATCTCCATCATTGCAAAACAAATCAAGAAAATTTCTTTTTTTCAAATTAGCTTTTGAGTGCTTGACAAATTATTAATAGTAATAAAGTTCTACCATGATAAGGGTTGTTTGGTTGGCTAAAAAAAGGAATGTAGTGTAAAAGGAAAACTTTAGAGTTATTTAGATGAGTGTAAAGTAAATTTGGGAGAATGAATTTTTTTTGTTTGGTTTGAAGTAAAATGAATGTAGTGTACAGTTTTAAGATGGCGGCGACCAGAGGGCGGCGGCGGGCGCAAACCGTAGTGGTGGGCAGAGGTGGTGGCGGCGGCGGCCAGCAACTGGTGGCAGCGGTGGTGGTCGCTGGCGGTGGGTGGCGGTCGTCGGCGAAGGTGGTGGCCGGCGGTGGGTGGCAGCTAGCAGTGGTGGTCGCCGGCAGCGGAGGTGGCGGCCGGTGGAGGGTGGCGAATAGCGGCGATGGCTAGTTGCGGCTGAGCTTGCTTGAGGTGTAAACAGTTCTCGCTCAAAATTGGGCGAGAACCGTTTACCTCAAAAATAAGTTAAATTGTTTTATACTACATTTACTTTACTTTACTTTGCATTTCTTTTACATCCAACCAAACACCAAATTTTTCAAAACCTCTGCAATCACTTTACTTTACACCCATTTTACTTTTAACCATACAGCCCCTAAATAATTTCTTCTTGTTGATGATAAACTAGAAAGGCAGTTGAAGGAAAACTTGAATTATGGAGGTCAACCCTAGAGCATAAAGGTTTTTGTTTTAGTAGATCTAAAACCAAATACATTAAGTGTAATTTTAGTAGTAATAGATCTAGTGCAGGGATTGTGACTTTAGCAATCAAGTCATTAATAAGAGTACGCGTTTTAAAAATTTTGGATCTATTGTTCAAAATGATGGTGAAATAGATGAGGATATTATTAGTAGAATTCAAATTAAAAGGTTGAACTGGATGAATGCATCGGGCCTGTTGTGTGATAGAAAAATATCCCTCAAAGTTAAGGAAAAATTCAATAAGATAGTGGTGAGACTTGCAATGTTTTATGGTGCGGAATGTTGGCCATTAAAAGAGAAGTATAAAATTGAGTTAAGTGTTTCGAAGATGAGGATGCTCGGGTGGATGAGTGGCTTCACTCTTAGAAATAGAATGTGAAATGAATATAAAAGTGAATGGTTGGAGTAGCTCCAGTGGCAACAAAGATTGGAGAGTCGCCTTAGATGGTTTGGACAAATAAAATGTATGCCTTTCGATGACCCAGCTAGGAGAGTAGATGTATTAGCCTATTAGGCATGACCTATGTTAAAACAAGTATAGGTAGACCTAAAAAGACTTGGTTATAAAATATTAAAAATGATATTTTTATTAGATTTAAATAAAAATTTGACTCTTAACAAGACACAATGGAGAAAAATGATCCATGCAGCCGATCCCATGTAGTGAGATTAAGGCTTGATGTTGTTGTTATTGTACTCTACTAAATAGTTTATGGCAGAACAAGCAATACCTATTAAGATGTTCCTTTGGAATCAATGGAAAAACTTCTTTTGCACGGTCCAAATCCCCACGCATCACAAGAGTTTTGTACTCAATCAAGCTAAGAAGCAACGTGTAACCTATAACACTGCATAAGAGAGAGTATTAGATGTGTATCAATTATTGCAAAACAAGACAACCTTCAGAATATCTCCAGATAACTCACTTGAACTCCTTGTCAATAAGATATACACGACTTTGGTTAGCCAAATATCCTAGCAAGTACATAGGCCGATCCAAGTGGAACATGGTTGTAACCTGAACTTCAACAACAACTATATCTATGAACTAGGTCATTCATAGAGCTGCATGCATCTTCAATGTCAAAGGATTCAATGGAATGTTACCTCTCCACCAACACAATAATTCAGTCGCCAAGAGGAGTTATTGTAAATGAAACAGTCTCCAACCCAAATTCCAGTTCGGACACGCTCATTTATTTCATGAAGTAGCTCAAACGCATCCTCAACACCTTGCTCATCAGCTGGGTTTCCATTTTCAACATGTGAAGAAACAGTATCTTTCTGCAAGGATAAAAATCAAGCTGAATCCACTTTTATACATACAAGCAACTACTTGCACAATGCAAACCATTATCCTACACAATTAAATTCATAGGAATGTCATAAAGAAACAGAGTAGGAAATCATAATTACTTTGATGGTAAGTTCATCAACTTACATTGTACTTCAAGATATAGAATGATGAATCGCTGGCAATTGTAACCAAATCACCACTGTCTGCCCAGTAGAGGTTCTAATACAGAAAACTAGAAGTTTGAGATTCAAGCAAAATGGAAAACTGAAACATATACGTCTGCTACGGGAAAAAAAAAAAAGCATGTAAAGGATAAAGAAACTCACTTTGACATTCACATCAATTCTGCGTATCAGTCTACATTCAGCCCAATCATAGAAGCAAATGAAATCGTTAGAGCACATAGCCAATAAAGTTCCCCCAAAAATGCGTTCTGCAGAAAAGGTTGGTCGAACACTTTTCTTCTCCTAGGGAAAAAATCATAACCTTGACAAATTTATATAAGCTGTTCCAACTAGCCTCTAACCAAAGAATAATAATAGATGAAGAATATTCAAATATTTAGGCATAACGTATGCATTTTTATATAGGAAACTGGTCGTGATGTTAAAGGTTGTCCAAGTGTGGTTCGAAACAAGGTAGGATTGAACAAGGATGACAGGTGCTATAGAAATAGTGTAACTTTCTTAATCAGCTCCTCCAATTCATTCAAGCACAAAAAATCAAGCAAACAACCTAATATAATGATAACAAAATGACTTCTAAAGATTAAGATGTACATAAATACAACTACACTTGTGCAAGACATACATACCCATAACCGAGAGGTACATAAGACAACTTGCAATGCATATCAGATCAGTAAAGCCAACAGCCCAAATCCATCTGCAAACCGAGATAAAACCTATCCGATCTGATTTTAGAAATTTCGGACAGCAAAAAAAGGGAACTTTTGAGTATTAATTTGAGTGAGTGTGCCCAACCACGCATAGGACGAAGGGGTATGTTAGGTAGTTAGCACTAAAATGTACATTTGAAACCACAAGCTAGGTTTGTTAATTTCTACGGGTAATTATACTTTACCCCATCACTTTATCATAATGCACATATAATCCCCTTTAATATGAACTTAATGCCAATGTGTTTTTGACTAAAGTATAGCTGAACTCTATTCCATCCAATTTGATGGTAAGAGTGAATTTCTCATAAAAATAATCATTAGTAAGTTTATCACCACCCATTTTACCTTTCCTTCTTAAAGTTTCTAATATGTGGCAGCTCTAAAAAAGCAATTATTTGATTTTTTAAAATATATTTATAAAATCCACATAAGCCTTCCAAAAAGTTACTTTTCCCACAATAGCTTCACAATCACCTTTACAAAACTCTGCATTCATCTCAAACAGATCCTAAGTAACAAAATCAAGTTTCAAAAGATAGATCTAATACACTATGCGATGATAAGAAAAAAATAATTAAATTCTTTTTAGGAACATGTTACATGGGATCAATACATCAACAATAACAACAACAAGCTTTTATCCCACTATGTGGAGTCGGTTACATGAGATCAATCTATAACTTATTTTATGAAGTGCAAGCAAGGAAAATGATAGGAATTGCATGAAGAAATCAACAAGACCTTGGCTATATTTTAATTTCAGCAATCTCCCACATCAATTCCACAAGCAGAACAAAGAAGAATAACAAGAGAAGCTTTGTGATTGATGAAATAGGAATGAAAACAACAAGATAAAATGGATCCTCAATTGGAGAAGAAGATCCGGCTCTCCCAATTCTCTAGCCGACGTCTAGAGCCCAAAACACCCTAAGAACACTCCAAATTTAGCAAAAACAGAGATGACCCTAACCCTAGAGAAAAAATCCTACTTAAAGCATACAATAATTAAGTAAATCTCAAAACAATCCCTCCTTTGAGTTTTCCCTACCAAATCCCACCTTAATTCCCTCTTAACTAAGCTGCTGGACCCCACGCCAGAGGAGCCTATGATAAACCAAGGCCAGTCCATGATGGACCAACTGGATCAGTCTAGGGACCAGTCTAACAATACCCCCTGGCCCCCTCCCAAATACTCACCCTATCCTCAAGGTAGAAGGACGAAAACTGATGCTTCACTCTCTCGTATGGCTCTCATGTGGCGTCATAGTTAGATAGGTTCTTCCACTTTATCAGCACTTCCTTGAGCCCCTCCTCTCCTTGTCAAACTCCTTTCAATTCCAGTGGTTAAAACCCTACCTCCAAATCCCTTGTCAGTGTCCCGGTAACTCTGATCTAGATGCATGATCCTCAATAGCTCTCTTCAATTGTGACACATGGAACACTAGGTGTATAGTAACAGTCGGGGGTAATCTCAATCAATAAGCCATTGCTCCAATACTCTTTATGATGTAGAACGAAAATTGCTTTGCTAGGGAGAAGGAAGAATTTGGAAAATTCTCAGATTTTCATCCCAAAATCTGTGAGAATTCTCAGAGTTTTGAGCTTAGGAAATAGGGAGAACATATGAGGAAATAAGGCTATAGAATTTTGGTGAATCTCGTGGTCAGCTGTGGGGAAATTAACAGCAAATTGAGGTCTTCCACAGTGCTGGACAGCAGGGTATCTTTGCTGGCATACGTGGACAGCAAGCTGTATGGCTTAGGAAATCCAAACAGCAGCTATAAGAGAGCGTTGGACAGCAGTATTTCTGGCAGCAAACTACACTGACTTTCCTTTGCTGGAATCTCCAGGACAGCAGCAATTTTGAAGCTTCAAGTTGCTGGGAAGCAAATAATCCTTGTTGGAAATCTCTGGCTGCAGTATTAGTAGGTAGAAAGTTGACAACTAGGGGGCAGCGAGTAAGAGAGAGGTTGACGGTGGAGTAAAATAGGTTTAGGGAGGTTAATTGAAATCTGAAATTAAATGCAGATTTCAATTAATATGGGATTTAAGAAAAGGAGGGGATTTCTTCCGTTAATGAGGTGAGCTGTCCACGGGAATAAATTAAGGCTTTTGCTATTGTAAACTTCGGTTCTTGAGATTGGGGAATATGATTGATTTGTTTCCAAACAGGATTTTTCCTTTTGGAATTAATCAAAATGAGGGGATTTCGGCTCAGCAAGAGGAGGGAGCAAGTCTCGCAAACTTCAATTCAGAAAATCTATAATGAGGTTGACGGGATTATGGAAGAGAAATTAGGGAATTAATTCCTAATTTCTCTCAGCAGATTTTGGAAAGTGAGATAAGGCTTGGGTTTAGAGAATTCCGGTTGGCAAGAGGGAGGAATTATTTTCCAAAGAGGCTTAGTATGAAATTATGAAATAAATTCCATTTATTCATACAGGGACCAGTGGCTTAGGAGAATAAGGGGAGCATTGAATGAGAGTATTTAAGGCTTCTTAAATTTGAATTTAAAATTCAAATGAATTTAGAATTCAAATGAATTTAAATTAAGGACTTAATGGAATTTGCTTAATGTTAGGGAATTAAGAAAAGAACCAATTAAATTCCTTTTGAATTTGAAATTCAAATCGGATTTACAAATGGAAACTTCCCAAAAATAGCTTTCATAAATTATGAAAGATTTCGAAATTCAAAATACATGATTTTGAATTGAAATCAGCCCAAAATATGAACACCCAAATTAGGCAAGGATTTCAATGGGGATGAGGTGGTGGATGGTGGCCGGCGGCTAAAGATTGGGCCGGCGGTATGAGGGCTCGGTATGGAGCTTGGATCGTGAAGTTGAGGGAGGAGGAAGAAGATGACGTGAAGGTGGATGTAGGAAGATGATAAATATGACAACGGGGAGAAATAAGAAAGAACCACACAAAAATAAAGATAAAACGAAAGATAGAAACAAACGATAGAAAATAAAATGATAGAAACCGCGAGCCTTGGACTCTTCCGAAGACTGAAGGGTGATTCGTTTGCCCTTCTCCAAGGGACTTCAATTCACAAGCCTGGACCCATCCTGCGGCTGGTGACAACTTTGATTCCTTCCCATAGGAATCTCACTCTCGTCCTCTCTCAAGAAGAACACAAGTGTGGAACACAAAATTTTCATATCAAATTAACCATCCCGCTTACAATAGCTTAAGGCCCTTATTCATAGGCCCCAATATGAAAAAATCAAAATTACAAAATTGCCCCTTGGGCCACAACACTCAAATAAACTATCATAGGGGTAAAACAGGAAATACATTAATTTAGAACTAAAATTCAGAAAAATAAATCATAATTGAAGGTTTAAATGATAGCTGTCGATTTATGACGCCTCCTGTGATAGATGTGCCAAATCTTTGTACTGATGTCCGTATCACTTTACTATCTCATAAGAGCCAACGTACATTGAAGCCAATTTCTCATTCCTCCTGGTAGTTACCGTCATTTGTCTGTAGGGACGTAGCTTCAAGTATACCTTATCCTCTATCTCAAACTAGATGTCCTTCCTATGCTAATCTGTATACTTCTTCATGATTTATTGAGCCCTCAACAAGTGCCTTTTCAACTCATCCAACACCCTATCCCTATCCTCCAAGTATTGCTCTACTGATGAAATTGGTGTGCTACTCTGCCCAAAGTGCACCAAGTGAGGTGAGTCTCTTTCGTACAACACTTTGAAAGGAGTCATTAGGAAAACGAAAGATACGAAATGTTGTACCAGTACTCCGCCCATGCTAGCCACTTGGCCTACGGTCGAGGTGTCTCTGAAGCAGAACATCGCAGTTATGTCTCCAGGCTCCTATTTACCATCTATGTTAGCCAGTCTGTGTGGTAAGTGATGCTCATCTTCAGCATTATTCCCTGCAGCCTGAACAGCTCCCTCCAAAAATAGCTAAGAAACACGTTATCTCAGTCGGACAATATAAACTCTGGTATCCCACGCAATATGACCATCTCTTTGATGAACGTTGTTGTCACTGTCACTATTGTGTAAGGATGTCGTAGGATAATGAAATGAGCATACTTGCTCAATCTGTCAACCACCACTAAAATCACTATAAACCCCTCAGATCAGCATAACCCATCTATAAAATCCATGGTGACTTCCTCCCACACTCTGTCAGGAAGAGCTAGGGTTGTAGTAATCCCCCTGGAGTCATGTCCATGTATTGGTTCCACTGGCATACCTCACACTTAGTCGTCATCTCCTCCACATCTTTGTGCATCCCCTTCTAAGACAACCCTGCTGTCAATCTCCTATATGTCTTCTGCACGCCAGAATGACCCCCAATAGCGCTCACATGGAACTCCTGTAATAGGTGTCGAATATGGACCAAAGTCTATAGTAGTACAAACCTCCACTGGTACAATAGTCTCTCCCCCTCTAGGAAATAACTAGGGTGACTACTCTCCCTGAGAAGATCCGCCCTAATCCACCCCAGCTCCTCATCCTGCCCGCTCTCCTCTTTAATAGCCCACTCAATCTAACATCAGTGGTATCGATAAAGCTAACTCTTAGAA